GGCGTGCACTTTTTCGACATCTCAACTTCCAAAAGTGGTCCGACGCTGAGGTGTTTTGCACATTTTGACTTCGAAATGTGCTTCGCGCCACAACGGCGTGCACTTTTTCGACATCTCAACTTCCAAAAGTGATCCGAAACCGTGATGCTTTGCGCATTTTGACTTCGAAATGTGCTTCGCGCCACAACGGCGTGCAATTTTTCATCGCTCCTGTGGCCAGCTGGCTCCGCACCCGCCGCTTTAGCGAGCCTACTTTTCGACCCGCCGGAGCCACAAATCATTGGAAAAACAGTGCTTCGCGACTTTCCTACCTTTTCGCGCATCTGCATCTTCTGTCTTCTTACTCTTTCTCTTCTACTCTTCTCTCTTCTAATCTTCCTCTTCTCTATGCCTCTTCCTTGCTCTGCTTTTCATCTCTCCATATTGTCGGAAGTTTGACTTCTAAACTTCTTTCGACAATTCAACGCTTTTGACACTGTCTTGGGCTCCAAGAAACGGCAGCCCTTCTATACTGTGCTGTGACAATTGATTAAAACTGATTGAACACACTATTCTATTCTAGTCTGATAGTTTCTGGGCTGTGGCCCGGCTATTTCTTGAATTTGTTGCCCCAGTAAGTCCCAACTTTCAAGCAACTGTAATAAGCAGATTTCCAAATCTGCTTACTACAGTCAGCGTAATTTAAGGCGTAGTGCAGATCAACTATAATAATGCATGCTTTCAAGCATTTGTAGGTGTCCTCGGGCTGCTTTTTTTTTCTGGCAATTTCTCTCAGAATGCCTTTTAAACATACGGTAACTACACTTAAATATCCGGATTTTTAAATATACGAACAGGTCTTTTAGACTACCTCCGGGAAGGTTTTCCGTGTTTAAACATACGGAATCCAATTCATTTAAACTTACTGCAACTACATTTAAATATACGAACTGGTATTTCATACTACCTCCGGGGCCTCGCGGTCTGGCCCGCCCTCCACATATTTAAATGTCGTTACCGTACATTCGCGACTTGATTTTGAGCCCGCGCTTTTGTCGCAACGCTTTCTTATTCCAAAACTCCCTTAAGACTGCTTTACACATGAACGCCTTTGGACACTGTCTTGGACTCCTAGAAACGGCAGCCCTTCCGCTGTAAAACACATTATTCTAGTCTGATTCAGTTTCTAGGCTGTGGCCCGGCTATTTCTTAAATTTGTTGCCCCAGGAAGTCCCAAC